TTGCTGAGTGTGACCCAAAAAGCAGAAAAAAATACATATTAGAGGTAAAATGATTTGCAGTTGATCTTTGAAAAACAAGAAAGTTTGAACTGTAAATTTCTATTTATACTTGTAAACAGACCATGTAAACAAATGTATTAATAACTAGCATAGTACTATAAGGATAATTTTTATTATGATTTGAATAACATTCTTGTTTCTGGTTTGTTGTAAGAATACAATATCTTACATGCAAGATATGTGCTAATTGGTTGTTACCAGAGTTTCAGTTAGCAGCAGGTTACTAATAGTGACTCTCGTGGGGGTTAAAAGTTACAATGAGGGGCTCGACCAAGAGTAAAGTAGGTAGGGTGTTTGTCTTGCATGCGTCTGCCCTGGGTTCAATTCCCAGCATCCCATATGGTCCTCTGATCACTGCCAGGAGTAATTCCTGAGTGCAAAGCCAGGAGTAACCCCTGTGCATCACCAGGTGTGACCCAAAAAGCAAAAAAAAAAAAAAGTTACAATGAAATTTTGACTTGGCTGTGGTGAGGAAATTAAAACTAACCTCCATATTGCTCAAGAGTGAACTGTTCTATAATTAGAACGAGAGACAAATTTTCTACTGTCCTAGGAAGAAATGAATGTAAGCACATTTGTAGAGGTGATTTAGAGAATTCATAGATATGTTGTCTGATATTGGCAATTTTCTCTGTCATTTTCAGGGTGTGAGGGAGAGGTGTGGAATGTTAAGGGATGAAGCAATCTGGAATTTAAAATATCTTCTCTGGGAAAATTAGTTATCTTTGCCATCAAATGTTTATTGTAAGAACTACCTCATTGGGAAGTGTTAGTGCCCTAACTGAACTTCCTTCACACACACTGCATGATTTCTGTCTGCAAAGTATAATGGCAAAGATGCAGGAAAAGTGAGAGATAGGACTAATTAAAATTTAAACATGATTGATTGCTTACCTCAAACGCGCCATCTCTTTCTTTTCCTTCTTTATGAAAACTCTATTTTTAAGTGCTTTATTCACATTCAAGATATTCTTCAAGAAAGGCTAGCCATCCACCATCTAGGGAGGCTGATGAGTTCAAGGCAATAATGATGTTTCCCCTATCAAGAATGGATTTGCACAAGTGCGTGAATATGCAATAAAATTCTAGGCTGTGAGATGGCCTCTGTTGGCGGGAATATGTCTTCTTGTTCCTAAAAAGAGATAGAAAAGATGGTTCATTTTCCACTTTGGGAGACTGACTGACTTGTTGGAAGAAGAACTTGATGAAGTAACCAAAAACAAGGTGTCATACAAGAATGTAGGGTTAAAAGATTGAGCTTGGTCCTTGCCTTTTAGTTATCAGTTGCATCCAACACTTCAGAGTATTCTACTGACACAGTTGATGAGCCCATTAGAACTGGCACAAAGTGAATCGAAGGTGTTAGATCCTGATGTAGGTGATAGGCCCCTCAGTTTATGAAGGAAACAGAGACAAATGATAGTAGGAGTGGGATAATAAATAATAATAATAATAAAGGCCCTCCCATTGATCGTCGATTTGCTCGAGCGGGCCCAGTAACGTCTCCATTGGAGACTTTGTTGTTACTGTGTCTGGCATATCGAATACTCTCGGTAGCTTGCCGGGCTCTCCAAGAGGGGCGGAGGAATCGAACTCGGGTCGGCCATGTTGGCCACTTGTAAGGCGAACGCCCTACCCGCTGTGCTATCGCTCCAGCCCTAAGAGTTAGAGAAAAAGTAGAAAGTAGTTTTCCTCAATCTAGCTTATGGATTCAGATCTAATGTTATGGTTTTTAATCCATTTGAATTAGGCTTTTGTGTTTAAGATGTTGGAAAGGGGTCTGCAAATGGTGAGCCAGTTCCAATTCTCTGAAACCCACCACATAACTCCCCCTCCACAAATAGTGTGCTTCTGACTTACTTTCAGGGCTGTATGTCCTTAATATTTCTTTCCTGCCAAATTATTATGGCAAAGACTTACAATACTGTACTAAAATAGAAGTGGTGAGAGTGAGAAAAACTTGTTTTATGCCTAATCTTACAAGGAATTCTTTCAGCTTGTCACCTTTATGTATGATGTTTGCTGTGGGCTTGTGGTACACAGTTTAACTATATTGAGGAAATTCTTTCCGCCTCCACTTTATTGAGAGTTTTTATCATGAATGGGTACTGGATACTATCAAATTAATTCTCTGCATCTATTGACATCATTTGTATCACTTGTCGTCCCGTTGTTCATTAATTTGCTCGAGCAGGCGCCAGTAACATCTCCATTCATCCCTGTCTCATGCTAGCATAGCCCAGTGGTGTATTGGGGGCTCTTTCAGGGTCAGTGTCATAAGACCCGTTATTGTTACTATTTTTGAAATATTGAATATGTCATGGATAGCTTGCCAGTCTCTGCCGTGCAGGTAGGATAGTCTCGGTAGCTTACCGGGCTCTCTGAGAGGGAGAAACTGCATCTCTCTCTTCCAGGAGCTTTGTTTTATAATCTCTGGATCTTGGCCATTGATGAGATTACTTGGCGCCAGGGGCAGTTTGTGGGTGTAACTGCCAAGCTACTGAAAAATGGGGGATCTGGGTGGAGGTGGCCCAGTTCCAATCTGAGAAGGCTTGGAGACTTCAGCCACGGGTCCCGCATACCTGGGTTCCTCTACCAGTTCCTTCATGCATGAGGCTCATCCTAGCATGTGGAGAGTGGCCTTGAGCATGGCTGTGGCTGGGTTCTGGAGGTTTTTGACTGCCGGGGTTCTGCTTGGGGTGGGGAGGGAGACTCAACTCATCCCCCTCTGAGGGGCCCCAGTGAAGACAGCCTGGTGCGGGGGCAGGAGATTCTTTTGACAAGGTCATATAAAATTTATTTTTCTTGTGCTGATATGGTGTGTTACATAGATTGACTTGCATATATTAAACGATCCTTCCATCCCAGGATGAATCCTAGTTTGTCGTGATGGTAATCTTTTTAGTGTAGTTTGCTAAAATTTTACTGAGATATCTGTGTCTGTGTTCAATGGGGACATAGGTCTATAGTTTTCCTTTATGTGTGAAGTTTCCATCTGATTTTGGTATGAGGATGATGCTTGCCTCATAGAAGCAGTTCAGGAGGATTCCTGTTTCTTCAGCTGATAGAACCTGAAAGATACTGGTAATAGATCTTCTTTAAAGGTTTGAAATAACTCACTAGTAAACTTATCTGGTCCTGAGCTTTGTGTTTTGGGAGACTTTTTATTGCCATTTTGATAGTAACTGGTCTGTTCAGATGCTCCATTTCCTCTTGATTCAACCGTGAGAAGTTATATAAAGTTTATCCTTTATTCTAGGTTCTCCAGTTTTATGGCATAAAAATTTTCTAAACAATCCCTGTTGATCCTTTGGATCTCTGTGGTATCTATTGTGATCTCTTCTCTTTCATTTCTGATTCAGTTTACGAGGATTTCCTTTCTTTTTATTTGTAAGTGTTGTAAACGGTTTGTCAAATTTGTCTACTTCTTCAAAGAATCCGTTCTTAGTTTTGTTGATCATCTAAATTGTTTTTATTTTAGTCTCCATTTCATTGACATTTGCTCTAAGTTTTTTGATTTCTGCCCTTTTCCCTACTTTAGGTTCCTTTGGTTAGTCTTTTACAAGACGCTTATGCATAGCAGTTAGGTTATTTAAGTGGGCTCTTTATTACTTTCTAATAAATGTTTACATTACCATCAACACTCCTCTTAGTACAGCTTTTGCTGCATCCCATATGTTCTGGTAGCTCATATCTTCATTCTTATTTACTTACAGGAATCATTTTATTTCCTTTCTGATTTTCTCTCTTTGACCCACTGGCTATTCAATGAGTTGTTTAATTTCCAAGTGTTGGATTTTTCCCCTCATATCTGTTTGTGATTAACTTTCCATTTTCAATGCATAATGATTTTGAGAGGATAGTTGGTTGATACCATTTTTATCTTTTGATTTTAAGGAGGTGTGTTTTTTGACTCAGCATATCGTATATTTTGGGGAATGTTCTATGTGCACTGGATAAGAATGAGTATTCAACTTTGGGGAGATAAAGAGGTTACATGTGTCAGTTAGACCTATTTGTTCTATTCCATTTTTCAAAGGCAGTATTTCTTTGTTGAATTTTAGTTTAGTTGATTTATCCAGAGGTGATAAAATACTGTTGAAGCTTCCAATTACTATTGTTTTGCTGTCATTATCTTCTTTCAGACCCTTTGGCAATTGCTGTAAATATTTTATGAACCATCATTAGATATATAAATGTTCAAGTGTGAATTCTTCATGATATATATGCAGAAATATATCTTTGACTTTTGTTATTCTAATTCTTATATGCATTGTAATATTCCTACTATTTAAATATTATCTTTTAATATTAATGTTAATATGTTAAACTAATTGTTAATATTCCACAAAAGTATACAGTGATAACACTTCAACAATGAAAATTATACTAAAAGGTTAAAAGAAGACATAAGGAACAGAGACAGATAAAAAAAATAAATACAGAAAGCAAATAAAAGTGGTGACCCTGGGGTTGGAGTGATAGCACAGCACGTAGGGCATTTGCCTTGCACACAGCCAACCTGAGGATCGATTCCCAGCATCCCATATTGTCCCCTGAGCAACGCCAGGAGTGACTCCTGAGTTCAGAGCCAGGAGTAACCACTGAGCATTGCCAGATGTGACCCAAAAAGAAAAAAAGTTAAATCTATCATTATAATTACTTACATTAAATATTAATATTACATTGAATAATAAAATGTATGACATATAAAGATATTGTGTGTATAAATATGTATGTTAATACATGTGCATATAGATAGGTATTTTGGACTCTGGTCACGCATGTATTGGAGCTTTGATATTATATCTTGGTATTGTACACAGCAGGCAGTTAGACCTGAGGATATTCCTGGAAATACTCTGATTGACAGTATATGAGAGTCACCAGGATCTCCTTGGAAGGTTCTCTGATGCCAGAGATGGAACTTGTCATTTATTTTAAGTAGGGGACACTGTACAAATGTGTGTGTCTTTCTTGTATAAAGACCATGCTAAATTTCTCTGCATAATACCAATTTCAGTATATGTCTGCTGAAAAGAGCATAAAAAAATGTGAGTTTTTTTTAAAACTAAAAGGTTTAAACTGCTTAAAAACAACAACAAAAATATAAAGTCTATTGAATAAAGACCAAAAAAGTAAGTCTTCAGAGAGAAGAAAAGCTCCCATCTCCCTACCATTCTAGTCAAAAAACAACAGTCTTTTATTCCTATGACTGATTGGTCACAATTGCCTCAGAGTTCTCAGCTGTCTCTATTGTGGGAGTGGAGTCATATTTCCTTAAAAGTTGAGAAGCTTTGAAAGAGAGAAGCAATGTAGCCTCTAATTAACAAAGGAATACGTATCTGCACTGCTAGAGATTGAAGAACAAACAGAATAAATTTGCATATTGATTAGATGAGTAGGCACCAAATGAAGGGGTAAAAATCCCCAAAGAGGAATTCTGTCATAAGAGGGCAAAAATAAAGTTTTGATCATCCAAGTTTGCCAAATGGCTTTGGTAAACTCTACATAGCCCACAAGACGCAGAAATTATAGACAACACATTCAAAGGAGCAGCTGGTCAAACAACCAGAATACAAATATGAGACAAAGAACAGAAGTGAAGGTGAATGGTGTAATCGGAGAGATAGAAAACCATTTCTTCCTTCCTTATACAGAAGACCTCAGGAAACGTTTTATCTGTAAAGAGTTAAATAACTACAAAACACACAATGCAGAGGGGAAAATATTCATGGAGCTTTAATGTAAAATGTTTATTTCCAAAGGGAGGGAATGTTAAGAAGTAGTAATAAAGAGCTGATAAAATAAATGCAAATTCATGTTGATAGGTATACTGGTGAATTCCTTGGCTCATAAAATACCTTTAATCGTTATATAAACTCCCGAAGTGAAGAACTGCTCTGGTAGCAACCCCTTTGCATATTCTCTGAAAACGCCTTCATTTGCTTCAAGATTCAGCCTGGATTTTATTCCCACAGTAAATTTTCCTTGACATTCCTCGCGGGCTAGCACATACATGCAACACTTTGATTCTTGTATTATTTCTCCTTGTAGGGTTGTATTGTCAACATTTGTTTCTATGGGTATCTGCCTCAATTAACTGAGAGTACCTAAAAGTGAAGAATTAGCTTATTAATATGTGTGTTCTCGGCACCCATGCATCCACTTTCTTCTCTGAGGCCAACAAGGGATTGTACATGATGATGACAATTTCTACGAAGTATACAACATAAACTACCATAAATGAATGAGATTAAGGGATCTATAATATCATGTCTGAGAGTAAGATTACAAGAGAATAGAGGGGTTATTTTTCTAAGAAATGCAGGATATTTGGAATCCCCACATCTAATACTTAGTTTGGGGGTTGGTTTTGAGTCACACCCAGCATTGCTCCACACTAGTTCTGACCCTGTGCTCGGGAACCATTCTTGGCAGTGTTTGGAGTACCATGTAAGGTATTGGAGATCAAACAGGAGTAGGTTGAGTGAAAAGCAAGTACTTGAACCGCTGTACTATTTCTCCAGCCCCGAATACTTAGTTTGGAAATGTGAGAGTATCTAAAAATAGTGGTTAAATTGTTGGGGGGGGGGGGGGGACATGGGGGGTAGGGAATGAATTGAATTGCTAAAATTAGCACCTGAAATTAGAAAATGCATTTTTAATAAATGACTGGAATAACTGAAAACTGCATCAGGAAATTCTAATGTAGCCATGAAATTAGAAAGAGGCTTTAAAACTGCCTTATTAGCCATCACTGAATTTTAAATAGCTTAAACATTAACTCTTTGCTGCAGGGGGTTCTCAAAAAACAAGAGATCTTGTAATACTAATTGCTAAAATACTCCTAGCTTGTAACAAAGGATTTGAAACAGTTCTTAATTGCTGCACAATCTTTGATCAAGGCAAAGAAAGAATTCATTAGTGTTAAAGTTATCAGTATTCCCAATGCCCAACAAAGGGCATATATGTTAAAAGTTTTCAAGTCGAGCCAAAAATGAAGAACTCAACAGTTGACAGAGACTTTAGTTCACAACAAATGTGAACATGCATTTCTCTCTTGCATCAGTAACTCCTGGGTAATAGGGATTTTTCAGGCTGCTATTCGGTTATCTTATCATCACTGATGTTAATTTTATAAAATTATCATATTGCTTTGCTTTTGTTGTTGCAGTGTTGGGACTCAACACTTGTTGCATTTTTGGGTGTCAACACTTTTGGTTTCAGTGCACCTAGAGTCACTCATCCTTTTTGTTTTGGTGTCAGGGATCTGGGAATAATACCCAGTGATGTGGGCTGTGTGAGAGCCTGCACATGCAACTCTACACATACAATGCAGACCCACCTCCCTGGAATACTTTTAAGTTTGCATTCTCACTCACTTAAATATTGAAAATATTTCAAGACCATGATGTATTTTTTTATGATATTGGTTTAGATATATTCATTCATATTACTTTTAAAAATACGAATCACAACTACTTCAGAATTTTCTTAATTCTGTACCACTATTCTTTATTTAAGGTCAGGAAAATGTCCTAGCAGGTAAGTGCATCAGAAAAAAAAATTCATTTACATTCCACCGGCACTGCCACTAAGCTCATCTATCAGTCCTGCTTCAGAGACTCATGATGAAATCTCAAATGAAATCAACGAGCCGCAAAAATTTCTCTGATACACAGGGCTCTGGTTGAGACCTCAAGGCAGGGCAACCTCAGGAGAGGGTGGGCCAAGTTCCCACCCTATCAAAGCCCCAGAAGCTGCACTCACACTACAACAGCTGCCACCACGCCTGTGGTAAGACTCCACCACCTCAAGACTGAGTTCCACAGAGATGCTAAACTGCCAAAAATTTCAGGTACACCAGGTGTATTCGGCTGAAAACTCTGGGCCTTCTTGGAATGAGGTGGGCGACTCCCCCATCCCCATCCTGTTCTTCGAGAAGCCCTGGCAGCCACACCCACATTCCACCACCACTACCATGCGAGTTCACTGACCAGTTAAATATTCTGGATTTTCTGACATCTCCAACTCTCCAAAATCACTAACAACCCAGTGAATTGCACCAGAATGGGTGGGAGCGTGATGTAGAAGTCAACCAAGCACAATGAGCAAAATTTAACACAGAAGGTTTAATCAGTAACAATAGCTTATTAAACCCTCAGACAAGGATTTAATGTCCCCATCATGAGACATAACAATTTGAACAAATTTTATTTTACTGATATACTTTTGGTGATTCCATTAGCCATTTGGTGATAATAAGCAATATAAAATTATATGGGGCCTGCTACAGAGGCAGGCTTGAAAGGTGGTTGGGAAAATGAGGACAACGGTGGCCACTGGTGGGGGTTGGGGTTGCAATACAGAATGCTTGTAACAAGTGCATCATAAACAACTTTATAAATCCGTGGTGTTTAAATAAAGTGGAAAACATTCAAAAGAACAAAAGCAACCTGTGTTGGCCCGGATGTGGCGAGAAAGGGACACTCCTTCACTGCTGGTGGGAATGCCGACTGGTTCAACCCTTTTGGAAAACAGTATGGAAGACTCTCAAAAAATTAGAAATTGAGCTCCCATTTGATCCAGCAATACCACTCCTGGGAATATACCCCGGAGAGGCCAAAAAGTATAGTTGAAGTGACATCTGCACTTGTTTGTTCATTGCAGCACTGTTTACAATAGCTAGAATATGGAAAAAACCTGAGTGCCCGAGAACAGATGACTGGCTAAAGAAACTTTGGTACATCTACACAATGGAGTACTATGTAGCAGTTAGAAAAGATGAAGTCATGAAATTTACATACAAGTGGTACTACATGGAAAATATTATGCTAAGCGAAATGAGTCAGAAAGAGAGGGACAGACATAGAAAGATTGCATTCATCTGGGTAACATAAAGTAACAAAATAGGAGACTAACACCCAAGAACAGCTGTGATAAATACCAGGTTGTTCACTCCATGGCTTAGAGGCCAGCTGCACACTCTAGGGGTAAAGGCAGCTCAGATAGAGAAGGGAGCACCAAATAAAGGGTGCTGGGAAGATCTGCCCATGATGAGAGATGCCTGCTGAAAGTAGTCCATGGACCGAACATGATTGCCACCCAATGTCTCTTCTGCAGACCACAGCACCCAAAAGAAGAGATAGAACAAAAGGGAGTGCCCTGCCATAGAGGCAGGGTAGGATGGGGGATGGGGGGTGGGAGGGATACTGGGATTGGTGGGGGTGGAGAATGGGCACTGGTGGTGGGAAGGGTACTCGATCATTGTATAACTGAAACCCATGCACAACAACTTGTAAGCCTACAACTGTACCTCATGGTGTTTCACTAACAAAAAATAAATAAATAAATAAATAAAGTGTAAAAAATCTTAATTAAAAAATTCTAAGGAAAAATTAATTTACAAAAATAAAATGCAAAGGCTTGCTACTAATACAGAATGATTATAACACAAATTCAAATCAAAAGAACTATAAGAAAATTAAATATGGAACAAGTGAAGTTGGATCTATTAGCAGTGACATCTAATTCTTTTTTAAAAAATAAACAGGATTCACTATAACTGGATATAACAGTTTTTTTCCATACAGTCCCAACAGTATCACTACAATGTTCAGGCCCTGGTAGAAGACTAGGTTGCCATTCCAAAATCCATCCTCCAGTGCTTTCTTGGAAAGTATCCACCCTCTTCCTTGCAAAGTGTTACAGGAAAATGCCCCCTGGTATAAGCATCAACATGGGTCAGTCTTAGCCTTCCATAGACATTCTGTTAATTTTTTAAATTTTATTTTATTTATTTATTTTTATTGAATCACCCTGAGATACAGTTACAAACTTTCGTGATTAAGTTTCAGTCATAAAATGATTGAGCACCTATCCCTCCACCAGTGCATATTTTCCACTCCCAATGTTTCCAGTATCCCTCCCACCACCCCAACCCCATCCCACCCCCTGTCTCTGCAGTAGGCACCCTTCCTTCTTACTCTCTCTCTATATATATGCTTTTGGGCATTGTGGTTTGACATACAGATACTGAG